AAAAATCAATTTTTTTGAGACACTCCAGCATTCTGTTATAACAGTACCTACATCCAGCATACTGCATTCTTTTCAAACAGCATACAGCATTCTCTTACAGCAGCACCCACATCCCAAATTTTCCTGGATCATTCATCTCTCACACAGATTTCATTCATACTTTCTCCTTTTCTAACACACTTTTAGAAAGCCAAAAAAAAATTATTGATGAAAATAGGCGCGTAGGATTTTTTGGAAAACTTCTTTCTTTGATTACATCAAAAGTTCTAATTCCTGGACCTCGACTCTCTATAGAATTTACCAAGGAATTTACTAATTACCAAATAACTATTTAAATAAAAAAACATTAAATAAGAAAGTTCTGGGTTGTTCCAGACTCAAAATTTGAAAATTTTATCAGAAAAATCAAGGGTTGTTCATTCAAAATTAAAGGAATCCAGAAATCCCAATTTACCAAAAAATAATTGTTGGTACTACTTACCAAAATCAAGTAGCCATTGGAACACACTCTGGCCACACGACGCGATAATCGGAAAATGGCGACCGAAAAATCTTAACTTGTTGTGTGAGAAAAATCGATGATTCATGACTGCAGTACTCTATCTATTGGCGATCCGTACCCGACTAAATCCCTTTGTCTTGTCCGACAAAGAAATCTGAATCTCAAACCCCCGCCAACCCCCCAAAAAAAAAGGTGAACTGATAAGGTTTATAAATATGAGAAAATGAGAGAGGCAAAAAAACTAACTGCGTAGTAGAGTAGTACCCCAATGGCAAGTGTAATCCCCTGTGTCTAGCTATACAGGACCGAATTTAGATTTAGATTAGATTTTTGGTTTCACCCTTTCGAGCCCATACTCCACACTGCAGCCTTTATAGGCTTTTTGTATGTCATTCGTATGGGCTCTACTCCTTCCCATTCATGCTTCTCATTCATACTTGCAGATCAGATGATTGGCGGCAGCGCGGTCGACCCACTGTCCCGTACTACTGCGGTCACCCATCCAATCTCCAACCCGACACCGCGTTGCTTGGCTTCGAGTAGGGCGTCCAGTCGTCCTTTATCAAAGCACCAACGTGCCGGTAACAGGACCGAATTAGTTTTACATTTTTTTAAAGTTTTTTTTTAGCTTTGTTCCAACAAAGCAGAAAACTGTACAAAGTACCATCAAGATTCTGCGCAAAACCTAGAATTTGAAAATCGTATACAAAGTGGCTTCGAAACCGTTCTTGGGACGGTTTTGGAACAGACCTTGACTATAACTTTCAATTTTTGTCTATTCCAGGCGCTAGGCTCTCTGAAATAATTCCGAGATTTTTAAATTGTTCAAAATGTCGCTGGAAAGTGTTTAAAATGGCTTATTGAAGTTCTAAAGTGTTCTAACTTTGCTTGAAGAGCATTTTAGAAGTTTTTCAGTAACTTCTAAATTGTTCTGATAGATTTTTAAGTATTTTAGAGCCCTATTGAAGCTCCAAAATGTTCTAAATTGGTTCAATAGAGTTCTGCTCGGAGTTCTGAAAGGTTTCCAGTTCTAAATTGATTCCTAATTGTTCCAAAATAACTCTGAACTCTTCTCAATTATTGTTCTTCAATTATTTTTGAGCAAATTAATATTAACTATACATCATTGAAAAGTGCAATACATTTTCTATAATACCTGTGCAAAATTGGGTTTTGTAGCTTGTAGAGTTTTAGAGATATTGAGCCTCAAAGCTAAAATTTAGTCTACGTTTTGTCCAAAACTTCAAACTCGATTTTCTCAAAAACCGTAAATGCTAGCGATTTCGACTAAATACCATCTTATTATCAAGGGCTACCGAGAGGGCTACAATTTCTGTTCCAGTACGGCTTTTGGTTACCGACATGTTTAAAATTCAAAGATTTCCAAATAAAAATCGAAAGGGGGTAGGTTAGAAAAAAATGCAAAAAATTGAAAAATTTTATTTTTCGATTTTTTTAAATTTAGACTCGATAAGAGCGAGTCCAGATTAGTCAGAAACAAGTCTACCATCAATAAGGTACATTTGGAAATTTCAATGAGAAAAAAAATCCAAAAGGAAATTTCATTTTCCTGGACATTTTTTGAAATCTTGACATGCTCATGAATAATTGCCTATATCTTCGATTATTTTTAAACAAACTAATAAAAATTACATATTGAAAAAAGCATTATATTCTCTATAAATCCGTGCAAAATTGAGTTTGATATCTCGGAAAGTTTTTGAGTAATTGAGCCTCAAAGTTGACTTCTAGTCTAAATTTTCTCAAAAACTTCAAACTCAATTTTCTCAAAGACATAAACCTGGAAATATTGTAACTCACAGGTCTTTTAGAGCTTAATAAGAACTACAAAAGCTGAAAATTTCAAAGCAATTTGCTCAACGGTTACCTACCGAACAATTGAGGTTTGAATATTATGAAAAACTCGATTTTTTTATTTTTCAGTTTTGATATCATTTCCAAATGGCCATTTTAAGCAGAAACAAAAATAAAAATAAAATCCTATTTTTGGCTGTGGAAACTTTTCAAAATCTTGACATGGTCATGAACAATTCCAATTCCCCATACCTTTGTTTAATACCGAGCAAATTAGAATAAATTATATACCGTTGGAAAAAACATTAATTTCTCTATAAGTCCGTGCAAAATTGGTTTTTGTAGCTTGTAAAGTTTTCAAGATAGTGAGCCAAAGTGGAAATTTAGTTAAAATTTTGTCCAAAACTTTAAATTCGATTTTCTCAAAAACTATAAATGCTAGCTAGCGATTTCCAAATAAAAATCCAAAGGGCGCCCTTAGAAAAAAGTGCAAAAAAAAGAAAATTTCTAATTTTGGATTTTTCTTAATTTTGACTTTAGAAATCGATAGAGCGAGTACAAATTAGTCAGAAACAACTTCAACATGAATTACATTTAGAAATTTCGATGAGAGAAAAAATCCAAAAGGAAATCTCATTATTCTCATTTTTGACTCTGAAAATTTTTTGAAATCTTAACACGCTCATGAATAATTGCTTTTATCTTCCATTATTTTTGAGAAAATTGATAATAACCATGCAGTATTGGGAAGAGCATTAAATTTTCTATAAGGCTGTGCAAAATTGGTTTTCGTAACTTTCAGGGTTTCCAAGATCTTGAGCTTGAAAGTTGAAATTTAGTCGACATTTTGTCTAAGACTTCAAACTCGATTTTCTCAAAAACCGTAAACGGTAGCGATTCCAGCTAAATACCATTTTGAAGTCCTAGAGAAGACTCAGAAGCCTATAATGAAAAAACAATGATTTTTTTTATCAAACATTCACATAATATTAGGAAATTGCCTATAAATTAAAAAATTCAATTAGAAAACCCATTAATTGTGTGAATTAGGCACTAGCTGACGTCACACTCAACCTCACATTCGACTTCCGATGGAGGGACAAACAAAGCGTTTGAAGGTATATTTTTACATGCAGAGGCGCTAGCTATTAACGTCAAAAATCATACGTCACTTTCGATAGGGGGACAAAACAGTCATTGTGAGGTTATGTGTGTGATGTCAGCTCCCTCTCCCGCTTAAAACATAACACAGAACTTAAAATTATAAATAAATATTTGATTAGAAAATCAATTACATAAGTACATAGGTATTGGAATTTTGTGCAAGTAGAAACTTTTTAATAGTCATAGTACTGCTTAGACTTAGTACGGCCGGCCCGGCCCTGACCACCCAGACTTCTTGGGGAATATTGGAATATTGAAAACACACAAGTTATATCTTTTAAGATTTTTTTTGGTCCTAACTTGTAAATTCGAGTTGTTTACTTCAACTTAGCCTTAACCCTTACCCCTGCTGTCTTGAAGGCTTGCCCCCTAATGATTTTTCTAAAATGAGAAACTACCAGGTGTGATACCTCCTTTGCACGGTTTTTTATTCCTCTTTAGAGGCATGATCGTTTCATTTCAGCTACAATATAGAACATGATCACTTGACTCTTCATCTGGAAAACACAAAAACAATTTTGCCTGGCAAAGTTGAAGAGCATTCAGCTATTCTATTAAAGTCCCATTAAGGTGAATTCACTTGAAACACGTTGTGCAGCTGACACCCAATAGCGAATCATAATTCAACAATTTCTCGCCGGTATTCAGAAGTGCTCCACTGCTACACTTACCTTTAATAGTATAATCGTGTAACAAATGAGATCCTAACCTATTATGGCGTACGGCTTCCCCAGAGGACACCAATTACCAAAAAGAAATAATTAAACCATGATTTGTTGCCCTGGATATCAGTGAAACGCAACTTCAATTGTTAAGAGGAGGTTATTGGAAACATTTTACAGCAAAATGCTTAAAGTCTAATACCAAACATGCTCAACTAGAAGTAGCTTACCAAAATTCTGATTTGAAGGACGCGAAGGGCGGTTAGGATCATAGCTTATAATTATTATTTCTTTAATAGTCTATTCCTCCACAATAGTCTACTGCTGAATGACAAATTTAAAAATAGATAAGAAAAGGAAGATACAATACCTTGTTTACATTACCCCCTCCCTTTTTTTTCTTACTTCAGTGATGATTCATCAATTAGGTATAAAAAAGACCTACAGACCTACATAATGACAGGTTGAAAATGTGGTAAATGGGCTTTGAGATATTGAAACTGCAATTTTTAAGAAATATGGGTGGTACCTCGTCTGGACCAGAGCCTTTGTTAACATCAAGCATGCATAGGTTTGTGTATATGTCAGATATTAGTATATGATGATTCGGTATATAGGACTTTAGATTTAGATGAACGCAAAATTATGCGTAGGGATATCATGATGGTTATTCGAGTAGAAAGAAGGAAAAATAATCTGCAAACATGTCAGAAATCTTTTCACCCGAACAACTATACCTGTCACGATATTTAAGTTCACTAGGAAAAGCATTGCTCTTTCTTTTATTATTTACAAAAGACCAGAATGTTTATCTTTTAATATATTTTTTTTAATCCCTTATTTTTTTCTATTTTCAGATCCGCGTGAAACCAGACAAATCTGGAGTAGTCACTGATGGTGTCAAACATTCCATGAATCCATTTGATGAAATCGCCGTAGAAGAAGCTGTGAGAATGAAAGAGAAAAAAATTGCTTCAGAAGTTATTGCCGTATCTTGCGGACCAGCACAATCACAAGAAGTTTTAAGGTAAGACTAGTACACTTACACTTTTCAATTATTCAAAACAATTATTCATTTAGGACTGCTCTGGCTATGGGCGTAGACAAAGGCATCCACGTAGAAGTATCAGGGCCGGAATACGAAACTCTACAGCCCATCCATGTATCGAAAATTTTGGCTAAAATTGCCCAAAATGAAAAAATTGACGTCATTATTGTTGGCAAACAAGTAAGAAATTTTCTTCCCAGCAAAAAATGTTTTTAATGCTTTTTATTTTCAAGGCTATCGATGATGACTGCAACCAAACAGCCCAAATGACTGCTGGCGTTTTAGATTGGCCTCAAGGAACTTTTGCATCAAAAGTTAGTGAAAATACATACAAATAAATAATACCTTCATTCATGCCTATGAAAAAACAATAATGAAATCTTGAAAGTATTCTCCCTGTTAACTGTAATTGAAAATTTGGATAAATATATTCCCTAGTATTTCTCAAAAGTTCACCAAAATCATGAAGAAAAAAATTCAGAATCAGAAGCTCAAACAGGTGTCATTTACATAGGTTGCTATAGCAGTCAATGTAAGTCATAACTGTAAAATTTAACTTTCATCAATTGAGCGCCATTTAATTTTGCATTTATTTAAAACCTTGATGTTACATTTTCAGATTGAAAAAGGTGACAAAGACATCACAATAACCAGAGAAGTCGATGGAGGTTTAGAAGTCATCAAATGCAAACTCCCAGCTGTTTTAAGTGCTGATTTAAGACTAAATGAACCTAGATATGCTACATTGCCAAACATTATGGTGAGAATTTAGTAGGTATATAATACAATCTGTAAAAACTATGTTCTTATACAGAAAGCCAAGAAAAAACCAATTCAGAAACTAACTCCTAAAGATCTTGGTGTTGATGTTTCTCCCAGAATTAAGATTATTAGCGTAGAGGACCCACCAACAAGGCAAGCAGGACAAATTGTGCCAGATGTAGACAATCTCATATCCAAATTAAAGGAAGCCGGCCATTGCTAAGTTTAATTAAATGCTGTTAAAATAATTGTAAAGACCCTGTACACCTTTTGTGGGTTTTCCTGACCGCAGTTGAGTTCAACCAAATTTCAGTATGTTATTTATCTGATCTTATCTTGTGCCCAATGTAACCCTATAACTATTTTTTAAGAGATAGGGTGTTAAAGCCTGTTTTACAGCTTGCAATTATATCTGGAATCTGCAAGAAACTGTGTGTAATATCAGACACCATGGCTGGGACTCTGTAACCAATAAAGATATTTTCTCTGTCTAGTGGCGTCCCCTCTCTATTGATTTCCAAAAAAAAGACAGAAGAATATAGCAATGGGGATAACAGAAAGAACGGATCTATAGCATACTGAAATTTGGTTAAATTCTAGTGAGGTCAGTAAACCTATGAGGTGTGCCAAATCCTTTTTTAGAATTTATGTATGGCAACATTGTTATGAAATTCATGTATTTCCCTATACATTTTATATTATTACACATTTACAAAAGTTGAATAATTTTGTTTTTCTCCAAACGTCAAAAAAACGTCACTTTGTTAACCCCTGTCAAGATGTCAGAAATTTAATTTCTATGCTGGTAGGCAAATCCAGCAGGTTAACACCTGTCGAGGTGGTGGAAATTTAATTTCTATGCTGCTTGGCAACCCCAGCGGCAGCAAAAGTACTTTTAGTGCCGCTCGTACTTTTACTGCCGCTCAACCATTCAGTTACCCCGGAGCTTACCCCATTCGTTTGGAGAAAAAATAGTGTGTTGCATACGGAGTAGAAGCACTTTTTTGTGCTTGAGCAGTATTGCAAGCCTCACTACGTTCGGCTCGCAAACCTACTGCTTCAGCACAAAAAAGTAAAGCTTCTACTCCTAATACAACAATATACTATTTGATTGATCTCGTACCTGTGTGGCCAGATAGATAGAGAATCTAAAAAGAATACAAAAACCTCCATAAATATTTGCTTGGTAGTGAATACTCATACTCATACTCAATATGCTTTATTGTCCAAAAAATATAAATTTTTACTGACAAAGCGGATAATATAATATACAAATTTATATACTAATCTACATTAATAGTTATACGAATTACACAAAATCACATAAAAATCTTAAAATTCCTAAAATTAACATAAGGCCAAAGAATGACTAATTAAAATGTAATAAATAAATTGAAATATCGTTCGAAATTGGGTATAGTCTGATACTGATTTCAAATCATTACTGAGGTGATTGAAAATTTTTTTGCTTTCAAAGAATATAGAATGTTTAGTCAGAGTAGACTTTGGAATTGGTAAACGTAAGTTATTAGTGTGTGTTCTGGTATTGTACCTTACCTCCTCAGGTTCTAGACCAGAATATTTTCTATGTAAGTATGAGACAAATAGTTTCTAAAATAAACAAAGAAGGCACAGTTAATATTTTTTCTTTTTTAAACAAAGGCTGACAGTGTGCACGGTTTTTGGCTCTACACAAATACCGCACTGCCCTTTTTTGCAGAACGAATATAGAATTCAGCAACTGCCCGTTTGCTGCTCGAACAAGGCGAAATACACCATTTTAGCAGCCGAAGTACTAAGCTCATTACATACAACCCTTATCGCAAAGCAACCAGCTGCCAACCTGTTACTCAATTGATCAATATGTTGATGAAACTTCAGCCTATCGTCCAACATAAGCCCCAAGAATTTTACAGTGGATTTACTTGCAATAGACCGATTCATAAGGTTCAGATTTGCAAAGTCAAAACCAAAGGTCATAATGTTTGTTTTGGACATATTAAAACAAAGTAGGTTTGTATCACACCAAACCTTTAGCTTTTGCAAATCGTTATCAATCATTACTCCTAAGTTTTCTTTACTCTTGTCATGCCACACAAGACTGGTGTCATCCGCAAATAGAGTGAATGAACCTTGAATATCTAATAAAGCCAAATCGTTTAGGTATATCAAAAACAAAATTGGTCCCAGCACTGAGCCCTGTGGAACACCTCTTGCAACAAGGGAGTTCCTCGTCTACCTTTACGATTTGTCTCCTTTCAGAAAGATAGGATGAAAACCATTCCACTGCAATGTAATGTAATGTAATTTATTCCACAATGTACAAAAATTATACAAGAAAAGCTTCACAAAAGCTGTATGGAAATGTTGCCTAAATTAATCCTATCAAAATCTTAAATCCTAAATACTATACTAAAAAAGTCACAAACAATCCAAAATATGACAAAAATAGACATTATATTATGATGACAAACAACAGTGAATCAGTCAGAGCTTTGTTTTGGTTTTTGGTTTCAGAAAAGGACGGTTCTAGGACGGCCCAGAAGAATCGCACAGTTTATTATTGGAATTTTTGACAGCCGAGCTGTTGTCATATTCTGAAATAATAAACTGTGCGATTCTTTTGAACTGTTCTAGAACCGTCCTTTTTTGAAACCAAAACAAAGCTATTATGGCATATATACCTACAATACATTTCATCCAGCCGACAAAAAAATAAAATAATAAAAAAAAATTGACATAAATCAAAGTGCATTTTTCAGAAGGCTGTGTCAAAGAATTCATTAATGTTATAAAATACATGATTCTGCAAAAGTTCTTTCAATTTACTCCTAAAAGTCCATTTATCTCGAGTCTGCAGCAAATTCACCGGTAGGTGATTCAGAATTTTTATTCCCATATACGTTGGACATTTTCGATTAACCTCCAGATCAAACTGAGGTGTTATGATGGCGCTATTGTTTCTTGTGTTATGTTGATGTATGTCAGAGTGCATTTGGACAGGGGCGTAGTCACCGGTGTTCCGCGTGTTCCACGGAATACGAGCACGGTAGCTCAAGGGGCCCGGTTCAACATGTCAATCAATAATATTTTTTCTCCTATTAAGTATGAAAAAATCATGTGCAGCGCCGTACACGTAGTAGAAGTGGAACTTCTTAAAAACTACCCCCCCCCTCCCCCCCGCCCCCCTGATACATTTTAAGACAGACGAAGTACCTACCACACAAAAGAGAGACGCGCATCTATAGTGACATCACAGGGGTATTGGCGCTTCACAATTAATAATAGGCAATCCTCTTTGCGCTTATAATCCTTGGTTTGTGGAATTAATGTTATAATGGATGTCTTTAATCGTGTTTTTACGTCTTATAGTTTTCTTCTCTCTCGTGTAACGAAATTTGCCAAAACGTGACACGTCTTTCAAATCATTCTCTATTGTTGTCCAAATATCAGATCGCTGCTTACTTTTCACTTCAAAAATACATTTGAAGCTAATTTATATGAAAACAAAAATCATAATGTACTTAGCATAGTTAGGGAGTAAAACTCTTTAAAAACTATTCCCTCCCTCATACAACCTTTAGACTTCCGAGTATGAGTCAAGGTATAGTTATTTAAGTATTAAGGGCGGTAAGTGTCGTTTACCGCCCGAGATTGTTTGAAGACCGACGCGTAGCGGAGGTCTTCAATATTCGAGGGCGGTTAACGACACTTAACGCCCAAAATACTTATTACGTTTTATGCACGATCGGGCTATTCCAGTTCAAAAACTTAATTTATAGAATGGCATCCAATTGACATTTTCAAAAATAGAATTGTCTTCCTCCTATAAAGGCGCGTTCCCAATGAAAAATTGGCAACTTTTGTATTTGCAACGCTTCCAAAAATCACAACTCTTATTTCCATGGTTATCCACCACCGCACATTATCTATAACAATTATTATTATTATGTTTTGTGATTATAGTTGGCTGGACTACTTGTTTCTAATGGTTGGTATGGTTGTTATGGTGCTTCTCAAATTGTTTATTTGTGTTAGTTACGCAGAACTCGCTTTCAAACAATACGGTTGCAAGCTGCAAATACGCTTTTTTGAAATTTAGGGAGAAATATGAGTGAAAATAGTGATAGTGAACTGGAAAATGCTTGGAATATTGGTAGTGACGCTGTGATTCCGGAAAAATCAAGGCAACGGTACGAAAAAACCTTTGAAATCTTTAAGAAGTGGTACGTTGACAAAAACTGGGCTGTTTCGGAGAAAGTGCTTTTGGCATACTTTGTACACCGAAATCAGAAGTTAAAATCACCTGGAAGCTTATGGGCTGAGTATTCCATGCTGAAGGCGACACTTTTTCTGAAGGAAAATGTTGACATTTCGAAATACGCAACTTTAATTGCCTTTCTGAAAAGAAAAAACGTTGGCCATACACCGAAAAAATCTAAAGTTTTCACAAAGGAGGATTTATACAGGTTTCTAATGGAGGCACCAGATGATAGATACTTGATTTTGAAAGTGAGTTAATTTACCTGTGTTTTTAACAATGCAAAGAATTAATTTGTTGTTTTTTCGTAGATAGGCATGATATTTGGTGTAGCTGGAGCATGCAGAAGGGAGGAATTATGTAATTTGACTTTACAAGACATAGATAATCAGGAAACGTTCATTTTTGTTAAAATACCCAATACAAAAACCAATATTCAAAGGAGTTTCACCATCACTGGTAAAGAAGACCAGCGAGTGGATTATTTGGAGATTTGTAGGAAATATATCGAACTACGACAAAAAACCGCAAAATCAAACAAGTTATTCTTAAAAATTCGAAACGGCTTTTGCACTAATCAAGTTGTAGGAAAGAATACCATAGGAAAATGGCCAGCACAAATTGCCACATTTTTAAATTTGCAAAATCCTTCTCAATACACTGGACATGCTTTTCGCAGAACTTCTGCGACGCTTCTTGCAAATAGCGGCGTAGAAGTATTAGCTCTCAAAAGACATGGAGGTTGGAAATCCTCGACGGTTGCCGAGGGTTATATCGAGGACTCCATAGAGAGCAAATTGAAATTCGCAGACCAAATTTTACACCAAACTCCTTCAACAAGTGGTAAGACTTCGATCCAAACAACATCCAGACAACTAAACGATGAACCTCATCCTGTTTCTCTGATAAATGATACAGAAAATACGGTTGTTCTTGATAAGCACATAAGAAAAGGAGGTGTTGTGATAGATAATTCACATAACTGTATATTTAATTTGTATGTTAACAAAAAATAATAATATTTAAATTCTATTAATATTAAACCTATGTACTATAGTTGTTGAGGTGCATAATAAATTATAATTCTTGTTTTATTTCTATTTCCATAGTTGACAACACGGATTAAATTGAACTAGTGGCCTCCACCAATATTCGAGAGTGTTTGATGACACGAAAATAGCGGGCGGTAAGTTCAACTTACCGCCCGCTCGTGCATAAAAGTACTAAAGGTATCAGCGCTTGCCGCTTGACAATAATAGGCAATCCTCTTCGCTCATAGTCCTTGGTTTGTGTCAATCGTTCGTTGGCTGCCATTGTCATTGGCTATCTTTCTGTCTACGTTATATCTTTTTTCTCTTATAGGTCTGTTCTTAAGAGTCTGTGACAGTTTACAAACTGTCGAAAAGAATCGCCCATACATGTATTCAATGCCGTCGTATCAAGATAAATCGATAACTTAGCTGCA